ACACTGGCAAACTGGCTAATCATGAACCCACAGTTGAATAGCCATTCAAAAGACCTCATATGATTTTTTGTAATCCAGCTTACTACTTGTCTATCCAATGAATCCACTGCTCCAAGCTTTTCAACGATGAAGACTATAAATCCTAGAAAAGCAGGAAAAGGACTTACCATTATAATAAAAGAAAAAGTAGTATAATTATAATAGAATAATAATTATAGTATAATTATAATAAAAGAAAAGGCTTATAATTATAGTATACTTGTGTATACTATCACTTTGTACGTATTCTGTAAATATGTTTATTTTTATAACTTTTATATTGTCTAGCTTGTAATCTATATATATCAATCAATTTGTTTGTATTTTCATAACATGTATCTTCCCCCTGTCACTTCCACGTCAATAGTTCAATTTCTCTGAATGTTTCTAGTTGGCTCCTCAGAAATTTGGCTTTTCTCATTTCTCATTTTCTGCCTGCACTTTCTAAGTTACTCACCAACTCGAACCAGCCCCATTCCTTAAAGATTATATGGATTGCATAGATTCCATAAAACTTTTATGTTTTGAAACAGAAAATGTTCATGATGCTTCAATTTTCAATATTCTGTTTCCTATTTGTTCCTGTTCAATGAAACAAATTCATTCACAGCAAATCCAAATGCGTCGCTACAGGAAGATGAAAACCAGCTCAGTAGTAATTACAGTTGCACCGGAAAAGAGTACATATACTATAAATATATAATATATATAATATAATATATATATACGATATATATCTATATAAATATTATCGTTTAGGATGTATCTATAATATGTATCATTTTACTTTAGTAAAATATAATATTCAATTTTGTAATTTAGAATTTCTTGCCCCTATCATGTATATCAGCTTGTATTTACCCCTTCAATTATCAGCGTTTTATAACCTGAACATAGAAACGCAATTTGATTTAGCCATCTTCAGTATCAAGTGAAATCTTGAAACTGATTGTTCATTAAACACTTTATGTAGTTTTCATTCAAAGGGAATCTCAGATAATGTGTCGTGTACTAGAAAAATTGGATAATGATTTATTCCATTTTTAAAATAAAAAAATAATAGTTAGGAGTGTTATAATTTTTATAATACAAGTAAAAAAGATATATAAAGCTTTGGAAAGTGCTAACACATATTATGGAATATTATGGATGGATAAGTAAATGGAAATATATGTGCATGCTATATATGTATAAATATCATACAGTATAAATTCATTTATATATAATTTTATGACACGATGTTAACCCGAAATGCTTTAAAAATCTAGTTATTTTAAAAACTGTTTTCTTTCCCAATAATGGCAAATTATAAAACATTACCGCAACATTGAAAAGCGTGATGAACAAATTTTGCGAAAAGAATAGCAACTGCTGCACGTATTCATAGATATCTTTCATTCAAAAAGTGGAAAAGTTCTATTTCTGTTAAAAAATACCCTGCAGTTCTGAGTCACAGACGGAAGAAAGCAGCAGGTCCTTTTGTTCAACTGAGGGGATGTGTTTAAGTGTTTTATGGCTTACTCACTTTCCCGCCAACGAGTACAAGAGAAGGGAAGCGTCGTTGCCATAGTAACCGGGCTGTAGGTAGTATTACAGATTTGAGTCCTTAGCCCAACGTTGTAGCGCCATCTGTTATTAAAAATCGACATGAGAAAGGGGTATTAAACGCTCTTAAGTATTTATGAAAATGTAGAAATAGATAATATGATTGAGATGAGGCCTGTGGTGTATTGATCATATTAAAACAGTTTAAGGTTTTATGTTCAATTAGCATTTGGTATAAAATTTTGAATCCTGTTAATCTGTTAAGTAAGCTACTTTAATCAGAAGATTTTGATTTATCCCAAGGCACTGATTTGGTAATAGCTCGTTAACTTAAAAAAAATTAAGATTGAATGAATTCTTTGACAGCGTTATCATAGAAGTTGAAAAATTAGCTAATGAAATAAATGTAGGAAAAACTTTTAATTGACTACACCATGCCATCATGCTCAGTCTAAAAAACGGAATTTTTGATATGCAAGTTTAGACTAACCTGTACAAGACTAAAAAGGGAAATATAAAATAATTTTTTTTCTTTACATTTTCTACCTAATTAATGAACTGAAGCTGAGATTCAACCTATTGAATAGTCCTAATGACTCTTTTGATTTTTTATATGGTGTCTACAAACTTAAAGACATGTGTAAAAATGAATTACTGGCACATTGTAAAGATCTGGAAAATGTTTTAACACATGGTGATTCTTTCAATCTTAAAGCATTAGAATTAGCAGACAAAATAGACTGAAATAAAATTTTTGTTGCTTCTTTTTCCAAACTAAAAATAATAAGAAATTACTTAAGAATGAGGTCTATTCAAAATCATCTTAATGGGTTAGCAATGTTGGCCATTGAACATGATTAGAGTAATCAATTACATCTGAAGGAAGTTATTCCCAATTTTGCAGGAAAAAAAAAAAAAAGAAAAAAAAAAAAAAGGTTCGAAAGAGATTATTTTGGTTTAGGTACGAACTTTGTATATTTTATTAGTATTTTTTATTCTTTGTTGTTTTAAAAGTTTTGTTTGTACTAGTTTCAGTTGCAAATTTTATGTGTTTTTAATAAAAAAAAATTAAATTCATAAATATTGTCTGAGTGTTATTGTCTTAATTCGGTTAGATTATACCGTATTTCTTTGGTGGTTATGTTTATTTGTAAATCTGTTTTTTTTTTTTTTTTTTTTTTATTTAAAATTTTAAGCTTGGGGGATGGGACTTTTGAGGTTTGCCTCTGGTGGCAAAAATGCTAGGATCGGCCCTGGGGAAACTCAGGTGTACCAAATATTTTAAAAATATGAATACTGAGTTGCCTCTTTCCCTCTGTTATTTCTTCGGGGGGGGGGATAAATAAAACTTTGTAAAGTATATGAAACTGCTTTACACATTTTGACATTACGGAGTTTCTGCCTATCCAAGCACTTGATTGGTACACTACTTTTAACAGCCTCGATTAGAACAGAACTGTATGGTAGGGTGAAGTATAGAGATAAAATTTTTACATGATTTAATCTTTTCATGATTTTTTGTTTGCTTGAGAAGTGTTATGAAAATTTAGTAACAATGGTCCTTTTTTTTTTTTTCCTTCCCACAACAAAACTAATGGTTATTTCTTGTAAGTTTATTTTGTAAAGAGCTTAAAGCATCTCTTATGTATGCAGTGTTTAGTATGGTCTGGCACAGCGGAGATGCTGCTGTCAATTGTAGGTGAGAGTATAATTTATTTTCAAATTTCTCTCATTTAAAATTCCTCCTCTATAATTTCATTTTCAAATTTTGTGACCATTATTATGGCATTAGCTTTTACATGACTAATAATTGATAAAACCTAGTTTTTCTAAATTATTGTTTGATTATAATTCTAGAAACATGAAATAACATATAGGAGATAATAATAAAGTGCTTGATTAAAATAGCTGATTTTATTATCAGTCATGTAAATAAAGTATATAAAAAAAGCAGATAATGAATATTGGAGTAAAAACTGTAGAATAAAAATTTTATGATTTCATCCTTGATAATCAGCTGTTTTCAGAAATCAAGAAAACTTAAACTCTAAAAGGAAATACAGGACAAAGTGCTGCCTAAACTGTAGCAGTTCAACATAGATAGGGAAAAGATTTGTAGTTAGTAGCCTATATTTCATTCATATCAGAAAACTTAACTTGCACCATTTCTTTGGATCTATTCAACTTCTGCTGATTGGGGAATTTCATTAATTTTATACATAATTAAATGAAAAACAAAATAATTTAAAAACATAATTTTCAATATTTTGTTAATTTTCTTGTGAGACAGCTAATTTAAGCTGAATTCTTAATCATGTATACCAAAGACTTCTCTTCTTTATTCTAGACTAACTAGACTGTACCAGTTATAAACATTACTATATATGAGTTGCTCAAAGAATTTTCATTATTTCACGAAAACAAAAAAGGGAGGAGCAAGAATCTTAATTTGTAATGATAACAAGATTCATTTCTTTGAAAATGAATTAATTGTTTTTTAGATCTTGATGCTTTATCTCAGCGTGCTATTGTATTTTGTTCACATTCTTGTAGTATTGTTTGGGAGCATTTTTCACAAATATTACACCAAAAGCAAGGAAGCTTTTTTTAATTTATTAAATTTCCATTAAAATTATTTTTAATCTTTATTAAAAAATCTGAATTTTGATCTGTCTAGGTCACAGATTCTTAATATGTATCTTGTTATTTGATTTAAAATTATTATTTAAAGGCTCTTAATCATTTGAAGTTAACTTTCTCTGTTTTGTCTTGTATAGGTGCTTTAAAAAAATGGTTTTAACTTTTATTAGCATTCTTTCTATGAATGTAAAGAATTCATAACATTGATATTAGCTTGTTACAAATATTGGAGGCTTAGATAATAAAAAATAAGCAGTGTGAAATAATAATAATGACTTGTGTAAATTGATTATTATCCACTCATGATCAAGGGCTGACACAATTTTCAAGACATCATGTACTCTGTTATATAACTGGTTTCAAATGCTTCTACATGTCGTCCAGATGCTAAAGTGGTTAGGGGAGTCTACTATGGTACCAAAGGGCCCGGGTTCGAATCTCGGAAAAGACATGGATGTTTGTAAATTTATAGTGTTAGCACGGCATGGCGGCACTCTAAATATGCGGTGAGCCGAAAGTCCCCTCGTGTGGATTGGTGGGTGTGGAAAGGAGTAAGAGACCACCGGATCCTCCCCGGGGTTCTCCCTCAAAATTGAGGTTGGAAAATACAAGTTCAACCTATTTTCAGAGCAGGCTCTGGCAACCATTGTTCCATGTAATATGGACAAGACAACAACAAATGCTTCTACATAAACATAGTGAAAACTTTTGGAATTGTCTAAAAACTGGTGATATGTATTAGATTCTAGTTGTTCTAATTAGATGCTTGCTGTAGGTACATTAGATAGCAAACTGTGTTAACTTATGCAATTTTTTTTTCTTTTCTAGTATGCATCTGAAGAGAAGCCAGTATTTGCTATGTGCAGTTTTGAGCAAGGTGTTTTTGCTGATGTAGAGCCAAAAGTTAGAAAGTTAGTTACATTCAATACTAAATGAGAGAATTGTTTAAAAAGCATAAGTAATTTTTTTTTTTTTTTTTAAGTAACAGAACGGTATAAAATGCTATTTGGATATATTGTGAATTAGAAAGCTGATAATTTATAAATTTTATGACTTGTAAGATCATTTATATTGCAAGCATTTCAGTTTTCATAAAAACTCAATTTATTTTAATTTTAACTTGTTGAAATTTTGTATGATAAGCCAAACTTGATACACCTTTCCTTATTCCTGAACCTCTGGCTCTTGTAGCACTGGGTCAGACATTTTCTGGACAAGAAGTTTTCAATTCTCTTGTTTACTACTACGGATATTATTAACTAGGAATATTGCACTTCCTTCAGTGGTACACTAAAGTGGTATTATTAGTACACTAAAGTGTACTATTAGTACACTAAAGTGGATTGTAGTAATTTCTCAGCTCCATTTCTTGTGTGGCTGAGTTGTTTAATACACAAAACAGGAAAAATTGTTCTTGTCAATTTAACTTTAATTTCTTTTCTGGAATAGATGAGGCAAGTCCCTTAAATGGCTTTAATCATTTTTCAGTTACCAAAATTATAAATGTGGAATGGTTAATCTAGTATTATACAGATATTCAAACATATTTCAGTAGTCAGGGATGTTTTTAGCATTTAAGATTATACATCCTTTCCTCACTATGCTGAGAGGATTTTGTTAGTATTGATCCAGTCTGTTAGATCTGAAGTTATGATAATTGAAGAGGTGTTTTTTTTTTTTTTTTTTTTTTTTTTTTGTCATACTCAGTTCAGTTTCTTTATTTTCAGACTCATTTCAGTGTACTTCATTGAGTATAATTTGGTTTCACAGTTTTCCGAAACACTTATTTTTTAGAATTACCATCAGCTTATCATTTTCAGATATCTTTGGCCTTCCTAAGGGATAATCATTCATTTCCTGATTTTAACTTCTCATCAGTTTGTAGTTTCTTCACTTACTTTGCAGATGCAGCCAGGGAATTTTTGGAATTTCACTGGCATTTGGTTTGACAACATATAAACTTGATGAAAGGAATTCCTGCATTAATTTTTGAAATATGAATTTGTCAATCTTCTTCCTGATATCATCTATTGACTTTTATATGGTTGCTTTGGTTATGTAACCTATGTGGTTGTCTTTTAACCGGTTTTCTTTGTCTGTTTGTTTGTTCAACATTGGAGCTAGTTTCCTTAAAGTAGCCAGGCTGTGGGATGTCCGTATCAGCAACATTGCTATGATAATTATCATCTGGCATCTTGAAGAAGGATGTAGTCACTGTTAAGAGATGCTTCATGCTTGACAGCAGAATGTGAAGCATTTCAGTGAAAGCTGTTGCATTGTGCACATCAAGTTACAACATTGAGAAATTATGATAATGTGATAGGTTCACCAGGTAATCATATAAATTCTGAATGACTTTGTCAACAGTCCAATCATTGAGAAGATAGAAATTTTAATAGAACTAGTAAGGCCTAATAGTTTCAGGATCACACATAGCATCATGTTCCATTCTTGTGTACAAAAACAATGCCTTTAAATTTCTTGAAACCATTATTTCAAGCTGTGTCAAGAACTGTCGAATCAAATAGCAGGAACAGCTGTCTGAAGGTTTAGTAGTGGTCATTCATGAATAACTAAACATAAAATTTAATGCTATTTGTAATTTGTTAGATCTCTGTCCAACTTTATAAAAATAATTATCCTCTGTAATTTCACATACTTTGTATGGAAGTAGACTTGTAAAGCCAAAACACTAGTGTATTACTTTAAAATAGGCACTTCAAGGCCAATACAAGACCCTGTCCCCATTAGCCATGATAACTCGTGTGATCATCAAAACACAGCATTTATTTTCTTCACCTAATTGTAATTCAAGTAAGCCTTCATTTGCATGATTTTTATGAAGTTAATGATGCTAAATAGAAAATAATTGGTGAGGATAGTAGGGGAATTAAGTATTTCGACTTTTTCTCCTCACCTGAGTTCCTATGGTTACAAATCAAATCGGGTGGCGAAAAATAACCTTTAAGTTTCTATTTTAAAGTAAAAGACTATAAAAAATCAAAATTTAAACAAAAGTTGCTTGAACTATAATTGAACTTCTACAGTAATTTTATCTTCTTTGTATTTGACATTTGTTTTGTTTAAGTTGTACTTCAGAGTCGAAGAATGTTGAAGTATTTAAGATAAACCTTTTTCAAAGTAAGTTGTTGGTCATTATGAATATTATGATTGATTAACTTTTAATATGTTGCAGAAGTTATTTTAAATTTCCAAGGTTATTATTTTTAATGTTCAGTGTTGGTATGCATTTTTAGTATTCAAAGTTGCATTTTTCATTTTCTAAAACAAAGCTTTACAGATCTTCATTGAATCAAAATATATTAATTTAATTTTCATGTTAAAAGTAGGAGAATTTGAGTATAATGATATGTGAATGCATATATTTGAACAATATATAGTTTTCATGGTGGCATTATTTCTTATAATTTATTCTTTTATTTATGAGCATTTTCTTTCTGTAATTTGCAACATATTTAATACCTAATTAGAAGAAATAATTTTGTTTTATTCAGGTATTGGTATCTTGGTTTCCTAAAAGATAAGTTTGTCTATTTTAAGAATTCATTTAAAGTAAGTATGGTTTGTAAATATATAAAACATAAATTAAATTTCAAACTAAAATTTTACTTTTTATTGTAATTTTGTATATTAACATTTTGCTTGGCTGTATACAGTTTATAAGCTCTTTTATAATCTTATGTTCTTATAACTTATTCACTAGTAACAAGTTGTATTATATGGTACACAGTTTGTGTAATTGGAAGTTCTTGAATATGAAATATATATTTTTAAATATTTTTATGTTATGTTTTAATGCACATAAATATATTTCTAGTAAGATTTCTTCTTCATTGCATTCTCTATATTGAGATATTTTTGATTTATCCTTTTCTATTATAAGTAGTTTATTGATAGTGTTTAATTATGTTTTAAAATTCATTAACATCTGAGAAAATTAGGGCGAGTAAATAGAATTATTATTTCAGTTAACACTTTTTGCACATAACCATGGCAGCTGTTTTCTATAATTAAATATTGCAATAAATACATGTAACTCTGTGAAATACAAATATATTTTACAGTTCATTTAGAGCATATTTATATACGAGTATCTATAGGATTTAAAATGATAATATAGACATATTATAATCTTCTGTTAATTTCATTTTGATTTTTGACTGTTACTCATCATCATTCATCAAGCCCTGTCAAATAATCATTTTTTGGAGATCTTATTTTTGTATTTGTAATTTTCAGAATAATGTAACTTTTGAATATATTTTGCATGGAATAAATTTCAGAATTTCTCTTTCAATTATTTTATTTTCATCTAAATCACATACTATATATCAATTATTATATTTTTAGCATGTAAAACAGCAATAAAGTAAGAAGTTATATGGATACATAATTGTGGCCATTAAGGATTTGTAAAACTTGTGTGTGTTTTATTATTATTATTATTTGTATATATGCCATTTTTAAATTACCAAACCAGAAACCCACGAATTAAATTGAAAAAACTCAGGAGGAAATCAATGGTGTTGAAATTTAATTGTGATAATTTTTTAAAAAAATTATGCATTTTATGAAATTCTACAATATTACAATTCCCACAGTTTTTCTGATTTATAAGTCTTTTGCTGGACTGTCAAAAATTATTAAATTGATCACTGGCAATTTTCTTATAAAATTTCAAAAATTTTCTTGTTATGTACTATAAAATGTTTTTATAATTTAACTGTAATCTTTGATGTTTCTGTTTTGGATAGCTTAGCAACTTTCGAATAACCTTTTAGTGCAGGACAATTAAAGTTAACTATTTGTGCAAATACTAATTGAGATCACTTGTTTTCATTATAAAATATGTATCCACATTTAAATGAAATAATGAAAAAAATTCTGTTTAAAAAAATTAATTTGAATTTTGAGCTCATTGATTGAAGTCATTTTTCTCCATTCTATTTTATTTATTTTTGGTTTATTTGGGTCCAATTAATTTTTTTTTTCTGTAATGTGAAATATATAAATAGTGAGCTATTCTAACACTTTTATTACTCATGGTGTGAGAGGTTGTTACCACTATCTATTTCTTGCATCTGTGGTATTGCCAGGTTGAAACCTCAGTTAATTTACATAATGAATGGAGAAAAATTGAATACCATGGTTGGAAAATATTGTTTTAGATGTGATTAGGAATGGTAGACACCAACACTAACTTGTATGTGTTTTAAATAAAATATTTCATTTGGAAACTTAAATACTCTTCACTTAAGAGTGGTTACTTTAATGATAATTTTATTAAATATTCAGCAATTATTCAAAGTTAAATTGGTTTGTTGATGCTATGAAGAGCTCTAACTTTTTTTTTTTTTAAATCTTATGTTTTATGCCTGAGAGAGAATTGTTCAGAGGTTATTAAATTTTACTTATCTTAAATATGAAGAAACATTATAATTCAGAAAATTGATAATTAACATTGTATATGTGCTTTATATTGAAAAGTGCTGTCTAATTATTATTCTTATTTCATTCAGAATTATTTGATATGTAATTAAACATAGCCCCTCTGCATTGCTTACATTCTGACTTCCATGGGCATACACACGCTCTGACCAAGGACATCCAATATGAGTTATCTGATATCGCTTCTTCTACATTCTCCTTTTTTGCTCTCATACTGTCAGATTATTACTGCACAGGACATAGAACCATTTAGTTTTAAATAATTCACACATACATTACCACAATAATCATGTCTCATAAAAAAAAAAAAAAAACTGGAAAGAGGATTGAAAGTGCAAATAATGAGTGATTCAGAGTGGAAAGCTTTTCTCGGTGACAGTTCAGATATTGACAGAATTTAGTAGTGCATTTAGTAGTAATGTAAGTAAAATGTTCCATTTCAGCATATCAAATATGATACAATTGGCTGCCAATGACATTTAATTCCTCTATCATATTTCATACAGTGGTCCCATGAAAGAAAAACTGAAGTTTGTCTGTTATATATGAGATATTGAAAGTGAAGAACCTAAATGGAATCTGCATATAATTTAATTGATCTTCAGAAGTGTTGTTGAGATTGCAAACAATTGTGTATAAAAGTCGTAGGGGTAATTTTTTTTTTTTTTTTAACTTGTTTTTCTTGGTAGAAAACAAGTTTCTTTTCTTTTCTTTTTAGCCCAAAGGGACGGTAACCCAAAGGGCTATTAGTCTCAAAATGGCATTTTGTGGCACATCACTATAAATGACGAAATACTTTTAAAATTGTTGCCACCAAATATTATCGTCCTGTATTATATTTAAAGAAATTAAATAATGAAGAATCTGCATGAATTGTATGTATGTTTCTCACATTGTGAAAAAGCAGTGGCACCTAGAGACAATCAAATTTTGAATAATGTAATTCTCCACCGGAACATGGTCACCTGTAAACCTGAATTTTGAATTTAGAATTTGTTTTACTATGTATTTTATGTTTTGTAAAACTTTAATAAATTCTTTATTAAAAAACTCAATGATTTCAAAGTGAGCATTGGCAACCTGTACCGATAAAAACATTTTTATCTCCGGCGTGTGACACTGACTGTCAGAAAATCTAAAGATATGCTGTTTAAGTTTTGTGATATTGCTGTTAAATTGAATTTTATGTGGTTTAAATGTGAAGGACATGGTATTTAATAAATAACGGTAATACATAAAGTGCTAAATGAAGTCCCTTTGGCCGTAATATAAAATCTGAAAGCTTTTGGATTTTATTTTATTTTGCCTCGCTTTTTCTTTCTTTCTTTTTTTCCTTTTTCTTTTTCTTTTCTTTTTTTTTTTTCTTTAAGAAACCCAGTAGCGAGCAACCCAATAGTATGATCTACAAAACCCAATAGTATGATTTACATTTTAAGAAACCCAATACTATGATTCACAAAAAAATAATACGCATGACTCCTGACTTCTGAAAAAAATTCCTTGCTTTAAACCAGAATAAGGAATGGGCTTTGGGTGCCCTATCACAAAATGCAATTTTTGGTTGCAAACAAAAAATTAGTTTTTTTAATCATCCTCTTATTTACCAGATTTACCATCTTAAGGAGTCTTTTTTATTCCCTAAAGTGAATTCTTTAAAAACTGAGTAAAATATAAAAGAGACTGAAAGAATATTTCAGAAGATGGCTTCTTTGAAAGCATCCAGTTCTATGGATATATTAAAAAAATATAGCATCAAAAAGAATGTGTGTAAGATGCTAAACAATGATAAAATCCATCCCTGAATGTAATTAAACCTCTTATTAGCAGACACCAACAAGACCAGTGTTTTTGTCTGTTGAATAAGAGTGCATTTTTCTCCTTCTTTGAGGGTATGATAATTCAAGTAGTGTCTGTTATCAGAGACAAAGTGAATTGCATCAAAGTGGAAAGTGAATTGCATCATACTTTTATGAATTCAGTCCTCAAATTCCTTAGACATATTGCATACATATTCACATTTTATTCTAATTTTTAATTCACATACTAAGTGTTAATCAATACATTTCTGTTTAGAGACTTAAATAAAAATATAAACTGTGAAGCTTTTTCTAGGTCTTGATTTATTCCTCTATTTCTTCTGCACCACAACAATTTTGAAAGCATTCTTTCACTACCAGTGATCATGCTGCTTGATCTATGAATAATGTTTTAATAATACGTAGTCTTATGCACACTCTTAGTGCAGCTATAGATTTTCAACACTTAAGTGTAACTAGGACTTATAAAAAGCTTTTTCATTAAATAGTAGACCATCTGAAGAATGGTAGCAAATATAAATTTAACTATCGCACTAAATAAATCAGTATTTCTGACTTTCTTTATAAAATTTTTTACCTTTTTCTTTTCAGTAATCAATATGTTTGTAAAATATGCTACTTCTATTTTCAGCAGATGCAATTTTGATAATAATCAACGATTTCTTTTTAAAAAATCATTTGTTGAAATTATTGGCAGTTTTATGCACACTCTTCGTGCAGCTATAGATTTTCAACACTTAAGTGTAACCAGGACTTATAAAAAGCTTTTTCATTAAATAATAGACCATTTGAAGAATAGTAGCAAATATAAATTTAACTATCACACTAAATAAATCAGTACTTCTGACTTTCTTTATATATATATATATATATATTTTTAACCTTTTTTTTTTTTCAGTAATCGATATGTTTGTAAAATATTCTACTTCTACTTTCAGCAGATGCAATTTTGATAATAATCAATGATTTCTTTTTAAAAAATCATTTGTTGAAATTATTGGCAGTCTTATGCACACTCTTCGTGCAGCTATAGATTTTCAACACTTAAGTGTAACCAGGACTTATAAAAGCTTTTTCATTAAATAATAGACCATTTGAAGAATGGTAGTAAATATAAATTTAACTATCACACTAAATAAATCAGTATTTCTGACTTTCTTTATAAATTTTTTTACCTTTTTCTTTTCAGTAATCAATATGTTTGTAAAATATGCTACTTCTACTTTCAGCAGATGCAATTTAAATAATAATCAATGGTTTCTTTTTAAAAAATCATTTGGTGAAATTATTGGCATTTTGTTAGAGACATATGCATTGCACAACTAATGTTTAGTTAGAATTTTTTTTAATGTGTAATCATTAAAAAGCAGACATCTTAAAACTTTTTAGGAAAGGAAGCCTATTCAAAATAGTAAACTGGAATATGTAGCACCTTGCAGTGGCTGTTCCCAATGTTATGTTCCACCGAAAGTTAAAAACAAGTTGAATGAAAACAGATGGTGGAGTGCTTTTCTTCCTAGAAATCCTCATCCTCAAAGTTAGTTCTTATTTCTACTTAAATGAGAGCTAATTTGAAGTATTAATGCCTAATTTATAATATCATTTTTTGTTTGATGACAGCTGATTATATTTATGGTTACTCTTACATTTCTCCCATTTTAAACTATCTGGAATTAGGGTAAATTTTTGTTTGTGCATAATTTTAAAATAATTTCAATTTAAAGCAGTTCTAGCATTAGAACTATGGATGATTAAGGCAAATATATTTCTGTTTAGGGGGGAAATGTGTCATTTTGACTGACTGATTGTTCTGATATTAACAAAATAATGTCATATGTTTTCTAATAAAATACTATTAACATGATTAAAATTTTCATTCTAGGGCTCAAAAACTCATTTTTAATTTCATAGATGAGATTAAAAATAAATTAACTTTAATGATGAATTCCTTTTTTTTAAATAGGTATTTTCAACATTTGATCTTCAGCTATAAACTGTTTTCTAATGTTTTTTTAACAAAATTTGTTCATTTTCGTTATTTTTTCGTTCCTAATGTGAGCCAGTTTCTCATAGAATCAAATAATCTTTTAATATTAGAACTTATCTGAATGCTTGCCAACCTAGTTTACAAAAACATTTTATATGCTACTAGCATTTTTTTAGGCGTGCAATTGATACAAATTTTTTATATGAAATAATATTATATGCTTTGAAGTGTATGGCATGCAGAGGTATCATTTTTTCCTTCTTTTGAATCTAGGGCATTTTTATTGAAAAGCATTTTGTTCAGCAATTTGCTGTGAAAGCTGCTATTAATTATTTGGCACCTTCATTAGCTGCAATAAATTCAATTTCTGTTGTGGATAATGCTACTTATATTTGGAGTTCATTTCGATTAAATTTATTTCCACATGCATATTTGCAATAATTCCAGTGGTCAGATGTTGAGTCTTGCTACCTTCAGCAAAATCAGTATCAGTGAATACCTTTAGAATTGGGTCGCAATTTCGTTTTGATAATACTATTATGCAGGTTGCTGAAATCTCATTTCAAGCAAAATTTCAAATGGCTTTTGTAAGATTTCCTATTTTTCTAGCACACACACACACACACACACACACACAAAAAAAAAAAAAAAAAAGTCTGGATTTATAACAAAGCCAACAATTTTAAAGTTTATAACAATAAGGTTTTGCATTTTTAAGAAAGTTGTCCTTGCCGTCTCCACTTCAGTCACAAGGATTCACTTTCTAAGAAAAGTATCAGGTTAATTTTTAGTAATCTTAAATTTTTGGCTGAGCTAGATTTCACAAATCAGTCCCAGCTATCAAATCAACATCTATATCAGTTACTGTGATCAGTTTTTTGCCATGTACTTGTATTCTTAAAAATGAGCCTGGAATTAATAGTGCTTATTTCTACCCCTTTATTTTTGCAAAGTAATAATTCCAGTACAGTATTGTTTAAGTCCATAGAACTTTGAGTTTATAAACCTTATCTGTATTCTCATCGAAACTTTGTTGGCACATGCGTACTTCCTCCTAAATGAGGCAGTTTTGTCATTCAGTTAGAGGTAGATCTTCATTTGCTGCAATGGTAACATTTCATGCAACAAAATTAAAAGTCAACTCAGTAATATCTTATCAATAAGAAAGTTGTTAATATTGCTTAATATCTTTATGCTGTGCCATCTAGACTGGACTTTTATTCGAAACATATAATATCATAATAATATTGATATTTTATCATTTTCTCGAATATGTGTATGTATGTGTATAATAAGTGTGTATTTGTGTTGATATTCTTGTCTTTCATTGATTAAGCCACATGTCTTTGCAAATCGATTCAATAACTTCAGTCTATATTGTAAAAATTATAGAATTATTTTCAACAGTGAATACAAAGTCATGTGATTTCATTGAAACTAGCTTTTCTTAAGCTTTTCTAGACTTGCCCATATTTCTGTTCATGGTGATGCAACTATTTATTAAAATGTTCACAGTGTGCTGCATTATCTTATTTCCTGAACACTGTTAGAGGCTGAAACCATTTCATTTTTAACTAATACTTTGTTTAAACCATATATTCTCAAACCATCTGAATGAGAAACTTAAGCATCTAACAGTATATTATAAGGTATTATTATTTTTCCAAAATATTCAAGATGTGTTTTATACTGTATATTTCTAAATATACTGATAGTAAGATACCTCTGTAGAATAGCTTTAAGTATCTTAAACGTTTAAGCATATTTCTTTTAGTGCTTAAAATTGATATGCCATTATCTTACAGTTTCAGATTCAACTCCTAATTACAGCTCTATCATAAATGAAGACTGTGGTAAGCATTTGGAACTTAAACCTTCATATAGCAATATTACTGCCTGTACTGCTGCTGTTAATGAAACAAGAATGGTACTTATATGTTGTATACCTTTATTTTGTATTGTTTTTGCATTTTAAAATCTTATGTACTTTTCCATCATCTCATAAAATAAAGTCACAATATTTAATTGCCTACTTCTTAAGATCCAAAACATCAGAAATGTTTCATTTTACTCAGCTACATAGTACTGCAAGTGCTGCCATTTCTTAAGGCATGAGAATTTTAACATCTTGGCCGTGCAGTCTGGCAAATTTCCAAATTAAGTTATTTTTGTCAATATGGCATTAGATCTTAAGTTTCTCTCAGATTAAAATTGTGCATTGCTTAATTAACTGAGCAGTTTAAATGAACGACATTTCCGAATCATTAGTCAAAAGAGGCTTTGTCCCTGGAGGACTACTGTTTTCGTTTTGCGATTTTGAGTTGAAAGCTTTAAAAGGCTGTACAGTCAGAAGTTGTTAATCCGGACTAGTCGGGACTTCGGCGATTCCTGATTATCGATTTTTCCGGATTATAGATCATCAGTTTAAATCTGGTAAGATGGCATGCAGAAATTACAAAATTAAAAATATGAAACCGTAATTTATGAAATAAAGAACAAATATGATCTAAAAGGTATCAAAATTTACAAAAAGAAAAAGCTTAATATTTATTTGTTTACTTTATTAAACATTTCTTTCAATGTAAGTTGTTTAAGTTGCTTCATTTAATGTGATAATACTTTCTCTTTAATTCTATTAAACAGACATAATTTCTTGTTTAGTTACAAAGTTCCGCTGTTCAAGTCCTATAATTGCTGTGTCGAGAATACTGACTAATTTGTCAATCGAAATTTTTTCATTTTCAATAACCTCTGTGTCTCTTTCTTTACTATCGGAAGCGAATTATAATGACGAGGAACTTGTTTTAAATCATATCAAAGACAGAGTACATCGAGACAAAATACTACATTTAGTAAGGAATTATAAGCCAAATAAAATAAAAACATCTGCCCTGAAGATAAGGATAGTGCTGACAGATCAACTTCCAATTCATTGCGTGCCGCGGCGTTCCCCCCGCCGAGCAGCATGAAATTGATAAACAGATTTCGGATTTCAAAACATACTTTCGCTTTAGATCCTTTACATATTAGCAAATATATGACGGAAATTCTATTTGATATAATCAAAAGTTCAAGCTCACTTTTATAAAATTGCTCTAACAGTCTGCAAAAAATAATAAGCCGGATCCAATTCGAAGATTAAGGAACAACGCAATCTGCAACATTAACTGAATTAGATAATTTTAGCTTAGCTTATACCGTCTGTTATACATTAAACGCGCATGCGTAAACGTTTTATGCGCATGCGCACACAACATTCGCAGCAGTAAAGGTCTTACGCACACACGTAAACACCTATGTGCATGTATGAACGCGACGCATGCGCAGAAAGTTTGTAGCTTTGAAGTCCGGATTATAGATCATTCCGGATTATGGGTGTCCGAATTAACTACTTTTGACTTTATCACTTTTCAAATCGTTGCCACCAAATACTATCGCCCTGTATTATATTTGAAGAAATTAAATAATGAAGAATCTGCATAAATGTATGTATGTTTCTTGCATTGTAATAAAACAACAGTACCTAGAGCCATTCAATTTTGAATGAGCGTACGTCTCCTATTACGAATATGGGCATCTGGAAGCTCATATTCGGAAATTTGGAAAAATAGAATTTGGAATTTGTTTTATTATCTATTTTATATTTTGTAAAACATTTAAACGAATTTTTGATTAAGAAACTTCAACGATTTCAAAGCGAGCAATGGCAACACTCTACAGGGGGGGGGGGACCTTTTTATCTCCAGCCTGCTGAACTATGTATAAAAAATTCTAAAGATATGCTCATTTTAAAATTATTTTGTGACATTGCCGTTGAACTGAATTTTATGGTTTATGTGCAAAAAACATGATATTTAATAAATGAAGGTAACACATTAAAAACATTAAAAAAACAACCCTTTGGATGCAATTTAAAATCTGAAACCTTTCATATTTTTTCCTTTTTTATATCTTTATTCTTTTAATCATCTAATTAGCATAATTATTAATCTGAGCTACAATTTTATAAACATTTGCACAATTGATGTGATTACCAGAAAATGTTTGTAATCTATTTTAGTGTAAAAAATTCACTTATACACTTGCTTAACTATGAGGATTTTCCCCCCCTGGAATTTATGCTGTTAAAATATCTGTTAGAGACTTTAGTTTTTGACAAATGCTTTTAGAAACATATTTATTGGAACGTAAATAAGTGCCATTATTGAATAGCCTAAATTTTCCATTCATGGATAGCTGAACTCATCTATAAGCAAAGGTGCTTGCATTAAACTGGTTTCAGTATAGCTATTATTTATGTTTATGTTATATAAGATATTGTTTTTTATATAGATTTCAAAGTATTTCACTGAATACACATTAACTTTATTAGCTCAGTGTTGATAAATTAAAATATTTTGTATGTTGTAGCTATATTCTTACATAGGTGCCCTATTCATATGAATCCAATTAGTTATTATAATTATTTATGTAAGATTTTCAGTTGTCATAAATATTGCTTGGCAAATGTATAAAATATATTCAAGTGTACTAACCAACAGTTTTCTGAGTAACAAAAATAATTTTTGTAAACTGTAATTTTTGATAATTTAATATCAGATACTTAGTACCAAGTAACTGAAAACAAACTTTCAAGAATTGTAGATGCCAAAAGGGATACTAATGGTAAATTGTTTCAATGGATGATATTCTTATACTATTAAAAGTAATATATCACTCAAAATTTCAACTGCAGGTTATGCTGTTAGCTTTAGAAACCATTTGTTTGGTGCAAGATGGAGATACATTTTCTCCCAGCAGAAAGAATTTTTATGATTGAGCATTCTTTTGCAATTTATTCTTCTAGAAAAGCTGTTGAAACATTTAAAGAGACATTCTGAAATATTCATGATCAAAAAAGACAGAAATTTTCTTCTTGGAGACCAGATTTCAAGAAACTGGAAGAATTGCCATAAGAAATGAAGTGGTTGCCTGTCTCTTCTGAGTTTGAAAAAAGTGAACAAAGGCAGAAATAAAATGTTGTAGTCACCAACTAAGTGTGTGAGAAAGATAGCATCATAATCAAATTTATATTCTGCAAAGTAATGCTCAATGATAAAGCTTCATTTTATTTCAGAAAATCTCATTTCCATCTTGTACTAAATAAATAGTTTTTGAAGGTAACAGCATAAATTGCAACTGAAATTTCAAGTGATACATTACTTGTAACAGTAAGTGATGTCACCTAAAGAAACAATTTGCTATTAATATCCATTTAGGAATTTCTACAATTTTTGAAATTTTGATGTGTGTCACTTATGGATCACCCTGTGTGTTATTTGATTTTAATAAATTTAACAAGATTTATTAAAAATAAGCTATCTTTTAAATTAATATACATTAAATATGTATTGTATAATTTAGTAATTTAAAAAACAGTTATGATGCTAAATAAAAGAATAATAAAATAATTACAATAGCAAATTACCAGTCTTGAATATACCCGTATATTACTTTTCATAACTGTAAAATACATAGCATGATTACTGACAAGCAACTAAAGTGTTTAAAGCCTTCATAATATTTTGTATGGTGAGAACATCATTGAAATAGAACCCTTTAAGTGATGTTTTGATTTTGGAATCTAGAGAATACAGATATGGAGCTAAGTCAAACAAATAAGTAGGATGTGAGAAAATAGATGTGTGTGTTTCTTTGGCCAAAACTATCAAACACTGACAGTTTTGTAACAATAGACATTATTGTGAAGAAGAAACTCATTTCATACTTCTTGATATTTACTCTAATATGATAATATTCTTTGCCACAAACATTTCAGAACATCTGAAAAAATGTGGCAATAACACAGTGTCAATTGGGCATGAATTTACTTTCCATTTCAAAACTTTAAAATATGAATATAAAATAAATTCAAAACTTCAAAAATAAAAAATAAATAAAACTTCAAAACTTTTTAAAAATAAAATCCAGGAGTAATCATAATGTGTCTGTTAGGTATGAATTCTTTATATACAGTTTTTTTGCTGTTATAAAAAAGGAAATGAATATCATAGCAGAGGAAACAAAATTCTTTCATGACATAATTAAAGATTAATGAGCACTGTTTTACTACTGATTTCAATCATTAAAGTCAGTTTTCCTCTGACACTCTTCATTTCATAGCATACAGGACGCTATGCCATGTCACCTTTAGCAATATTATTCAGAAAATCTGAGTTTCTTTTAGTGGCAGTTGTAGTTGAATAAAGTAATGTGATACACCTTGGTTTAATTAACCTCTCACTTAGCTATCCAAATATATGACTTTAATCCTAAGAACTTAATGAACGATCTTCCTCCTTTTTTTTTTCTGGGAATAAAGTTTCCCTCTTTCTAAAAGTAGATTTTGACCCCATTTTTTGGAATTCTATTCTTAGAAAGAATGAGTCATGGTCTATTTTTAGAAAGGGGGAGATCCTGGACAGCAGGTATCCTCGACTTCATTTAGAGTTCTTAATTAATGGTGCAGCAAGAGCATGGACTATCTGGAAAGCTCAATAACCAAAGTATTTTAGGTTTCTTTTTAGCAAGAAAGTTACACAAATGAAACATTTGTAATGCCTGTTGCCAGACAGTGTGATTTAACACCAGTAACAGACAAGTATGATGCCGCAAGCAGTCATAAGATCTTCACTATGGTTTTATGTAAAGCTGATTAATTCTCAATAAGCTGGTTTAGTCTTTGTAAGAAATGATATAAGTTAGCATCTTTTTCTCAAACTTTGATACTTGCCTTTTGTGGAGCAGAATACAGTGGAGTATTTTAGAAGTTGCAGGATCCTAGCATCAAGAAAAGTAAAATTAAGGGCATCATAGATGACTTTATACAAAAATGGATAAAAAGTGATGTTAGAATGTGAAAAATTAATAACTGATTTGATCTTTCTTATGCTATATCCATAACTTATATTTCATGATTATCTAATTAACTCAAGAACAGTCTGTGCCTTTAAACTTCTGCCAGTGTAGTTGTCACAGATTTGGCTGGATCTCTGCCAACTTTATTTTATACTCGGTTGTGTTTAAACCCATCATGCATCAACTTTTATGTCTGAAATGCATTTTTTATCCCAAAATATTACATGATTTTAAATGTTGGCCACCGTGATTTTTGTGTCATGTATATGCTGAATTATCTGGAATTTTCATGCTTCCTGAATTCACCATTTCCTGAGCTTTCTAGATAACCGAGTTTTTACCGTCTTTCTATTTTTTGTCTCATATAGTAAATTTCATTTTCAAATTACAACTCATAGTATAAATGGCTTAGCTCATTGTGTTAAATTGTAATTAATAAAATAACTGGTATTTTTTGTTAGTCTTTTCCTGGAGGCTAGGACATATATTGCCCCACCAATTCACTACATAAAATAAAGCTTAAGGAAATGTAGTTTACTATATATGACATTTAGGATTTACTATTTAATGTTAAGCAGGAAATGGCAGCCCTGTCAGTTTGCTTTCCTGTTGCTGCCTGCTTGAATAGTTGACTAAATGACATCAATACATAAAAAATTAGTGTGCATAACCCATGTGAAAAGATGCTACATTTCTACATTTGCTACATTTGATTCAATGCTACATTTATTATTATTATTATTAAATGTACTACTTTTTAAAATATAACTACAAACTGCTACATTTAGTAAAATTTTCTGTCTTGTGAATTAATCAAAAACTAATTGAATTGTATTCAGCAGCAGACTAATAATACAATTCAATAGAATTGTATTTTTAATCTGCTGAGCTTATATGAAGTTCAATAATAAGCTGAGTACCAAGCATTTTAGAACACTTTAAAAGTAGTAATTAATGTGAAACCTATAAATGTATGTTGTATTTCAGTTAAATCTGTGCATATTTAGTTAAAAAATTAATGCCACAATAAGAAAATATGACTTTATTTTATTTATAGAATATTGGTGGTTCACTCTGCATTAAAGTCTACCCTATCAGTTTGTCAACAAAGCAGTTTATTTCTTATGGGTAAGATAAAGCTTTTACCCCGTCGAATGCTTTTTTAAAGGTTTTTTTTTTTTTTTTTGCTTGATTTTGTATAAAAATAAAATAAAGGGCATAGTTAAAGATTAAATAAATAAGAAAAATATTTTTAAGCTCTATTTTGTTTTCTTTAAAAAGTAATCCTGAACTTTCTCATTTTAAAAATGAATATTCTTTTACTTTCTGGTGAAATATTGTTTATATCTGAATTATATAGATGTGCATTATTCTTACAGTTTAAGGTATCACAGATCTAAGTTATCTGATGATAGTATATCTACTGTTGTAAAAGCCAGAGAATTAATCATTGAATCTGCAGAGGAAGCAGATTCTGATGATGTTGTGAATGTCGAAAAAGGTTCTGAACATACTGTAAGTTTCACATTATTGACAATCGTGGAAAATATGTTAACTAGTCTTTTCAATATTTCACATTACATTGCATTGTATTGCAATCACAACATATGTTACTTAATTTTATATAAAATAAATTACATCTTTGTTATTTAATAATACATTTAATTGATGTAATTTCTAATGGATTTTTCTGATAGTTATTAGTTGTTAAATTATAACTAAATAATAATTTTATAACCACTTCTCCTATTAATGTAATTAATAAAACATAATGCTAATTGTGTACCTCAGTACATAAAAATGAATGCGTACATCTAGAAATGAGTTTGTAATGGCATAAAATGTAAATAATTTATTTAAAAGTATCTCACAAATATTTTAATAATTATAAATGTTTACTTTGCATATTATATTATCTTTTTGTGGCAACAATTTTCATACTGCCCTCATTTTAGAAGCCAATGATTTGTTTTTAAGAGAAGATTTAGTTCTGCTACTAGAGTAGAAAATAAAAGGATTTGGTGTTAATACAGTGGTGTTGTATATAGTTCAGTAAATACCATTAAAGTAGCAAGTTTTTAACTGCATTTTGTTATGCAGCTAAGAACCAAAAAGTTTGTTCCCCTTCACCTTTTTTACATTGTTTCATTTTCATACCAATGTGAATAAATTGTAAATGTTTGTTTTTCACTAAAAAAAAAAAAAAAAAAAAAAAAAAAAAAAGGCAAAGCTTGAGAAGCATTATTTTAAATTACAAAATTAGTATTAGCATTTAACAACTGATAACTTTTGTAACTGCATATATATAACTATTGATATCAAGGTACAGAAATTGTAAATTTAAATTGAAAGAAAAATTAAATACCACTAACAAATATTTTAATAGTTTAAAGGCATTCATTAAAGCAACACATTTTGAATTCAAAGAGCTAGTAAAAATATTAGAAAATAATCATTCATGAGAAATCTCAGTCCTAGTGTGATGCTAGTAATTTGTCTGTTTGATTGTATTTTTGTCAGTACCATTCTGAAATCTTCATATTCAATTACCTGAAATTTATAACACATTTTGAATTCAAAGAGCTAGTAAAAATATTAGAAAATAATCATTCAGAAGAAATCTCAGCCCTAGTGTGATGCTAGTAATTTGTCTGTTTGATTGTATTTTTGTCAGTACCATTCTGAAATCTTCATATTCAATTATCTGAAGTTTATTTTTCTTTCTGATTTAAAAAAAATTGCAATTGCATAAAATACACATTTAACTAATACAGTGATGGAAATGCTATAAAATATAGTTTGACCATCTCATCTGCGACCATGAGCGCAAACACACATGCGCCATTTGGACCAAATTATTTTCAAAATAGGGTGGAAAGATGGGGACTTTCTTTTCCTCCAGCATAGCTCTTTCCGGAGAAGAGAAGACCTTTCACGTCGCAGCAAGTTATACCGCCCCTTTTGGACGGGTCTATGTGTTTTGGCATAATGCCAACCAGGATTGCGCTTGAGACTGTCGAACTATGCCTGTTTTTACAATGACTCATAACACTCGGTAAATTGACAGTACGTGTTCTTCCGGTTAAAAATCTCATTGTTTATTTTTTATAGATTTTAGCATTAACTCTTCCTTTGTATATAATGTGAATAATTTTTCTTCTGGTGGTATTTCTGATGCTCCAGTATTTAAAACTGAGTCTGAAGTTTAATCAAGATTCTTTGTGTTAAATATATCTTGAAATAAGTATTGAAAGCGTGATTTCAGATTTTGGCAGTTAAATCAAAAATATCTTTGTTATTTATTTAATTTTTTCACTGAGGAAAGATTCCTAGGTTGGTAAAATTTCCCGTTCCCAAACTATAGGTGTACAAGGCAAGTTTAAACATGAGCATGGAAATAGTATGCTGCTTGAGTATACTAGTTGTCATTGCAAACACAAATTTGTCAACATGTTTTAAAATTTTAGTTTAAGTTGTTACTTGCACTTGCATATTGAATTTTTCTTATAGTTAAAAATGAATCTTAAATACATAACAGCTTAAATTCAGCTTGCATGTAAATACGCATGTGTGTGTATGTGTTTAACGTAATGAAGGAGAACTGAACAGATGTGGCATAGATAACAAAATGAAAATTTATTCCTTGAAAATTAATTCTATAATTTTGAGGACACATATTTTATCACATCTCAAGACCATGGATGACATAGAGAGCAAGCAGAATGACACATGCAAGCAGAGCTAGAAGATGTTAAAAACAGTGAATATGCATTTGAGCAAAGTGTTTGTTTCTTCTGTGATTAAATTTTGGACTGCAGTTGATTAAAATATCCACAACGATTCTGTAACATTATGGCACAATGAGAATCGATCTTTAGATGATGCACTCTAGATTCATATAATTAGTAACTTTAAGACAGGGAGGAGATATAACCAAATTAAAATGAGGAATTGAAAGGACTGTTGCTGAAAGCTCTTAGTTTTCTAAAAAGTGACCAAAGTTTTTAGATATATTATTATTTCCCATTAGCATCTCAATATTTTCTGCAGTCTCAGGATGAAAAGTACCCTTTCTATCAGCACCCATGCTAGAGAAACTATGATTTAAATTTTTATATATTTAGTTTTTAAATGCATTTTGTGTGAATTTTCATTAAATGCTATTTGAAATAAAGTTTTTAAAATTTATTGCTTCAGTGCTACATTTTTATTATTATGATGATTAATACTTTTAAAAATATAACTACAAACTGCTATATTTAGTAAAATTTTTTGTCTTGGGAATTAATTAAAAACTTAATTTTGCAGTTACATCACTACTATGAGTAAGCCCATGTGATATAGATGCATAATCAATTTTTTACACTTCAGCAGGATACCCATGCAATAATGGTATGTTTCTAATTCTACAGAGGTTACAGGGATTGAAGTAGTTAACCAAATTCTGATAACCGATGTAAAAATTTAAAATTTATAACATCCCCCCCCAAATGGAAACAGTAAATATGCATCTTTCTTATATGTGCCAGACTTAAAAATCAAAATATTGGTTATCTAGAAGCACTGAAAGTACTAAACCGAGGTCAGACATAATTATAATCAATTAACTAATAATTTAAATTCAGTCTCATATCATAAATTTTTTCTTTAATTTTCTATCATTAATGCTATTTATTAAATATGGCTGCAAAATAATGTCTCTTGTTTCTGTTCATTACAGGAGGAATTTTATTATATTGACAATGAAAAGTATAAAAGGGCATCATGTAGCATATCACTACTACCAAAACAAGTAACATTATATGGCTAATTTGTTAAATTTTTTTTTTTTTTTTTTTTTTTTTTTTTTTTTTTTTTGTACAATAAAATGCTTTTTCATGTAAACATATATTGTGAATCATTGCCTTCTCCTCTATAATCCAAGAATAACTAAAATAGTTTAAAATATTAAATTATAAGCATGAGGTAATTTTTTAAAGTATTAACTGAAAGTTGCATAATCATCTGAAATAACTAAGTTAGCTATAGTTAAAATAAAGTGATGCATAATTTAGTGTAAATAAAATGAATTAGATTTAATCTAATTGTGAATTAGGTTTAATCTAATTGAATTACAAATATCACTACTTTTTCCTTTGGATAATTAGACATAATTCATTAATCAGGGGGAAAAACAATCAATATTACTATGACTTGGTATCATGATTTATTAGCTTATTGTTAAACAACAGTAAAAATGTGTTTTTGATTTCATATCCAATGATTCATTCAGATGAAAATTTCAAGAATTATGTTAAATTCTTGAAGGAAATTATACATTTCTATTTTAAATTTCTTAAAAGAGATTAGCACGGAAACAGAAGACATAACAGGTTTATGAGAAAAGGAATAGGTGGTCTGAGTGTTATGTAGGGCCAAAACCATTAAGTTAAGGTACACGTAGTTTATAGAGAGAAAAATGAATAATATCTCCTGCATTATTTTATGACTTTAGCAACTTTAATACCTATTGAGCAAAATAGCTGCTATTGTGATAGAGAAAGTTTGTATTCTTCTGAAATTAGTGAAGATAAACTCGGTTAGCATGGGGCAATACCATTTTAGAAAACAATATAGTAAGTTTGCACCTTCAAGGCAGTCTGTTAAAGACGGACACATATTTCATGAAACAAGTTGTATGTGTAAATTTTAAAATTCTGAGAGATTGATTACCTGTATGAAGGAAACAATGGAATGCATTCTTTAGACATTCACTCGCTTCCTGAAGAAATTGGCAGCATATGCTAATTTAGAATTACAGACATCACAGCAGACTAAATGGAAAATTTTGCAAAAGCTTCTTACATTAGAAAAGTCTGAGAGAAAAAATGTGTGTCACGTAAATGCACTAGGTGGTTAATGTTAACATTTATAGAGTATAAAATGTTTCTATATTTTTTTAATACATTCGTTATATTGTTTATATTTGGGATGTAAACTGATAAAGATATCAGATATTTGCACTTGTAAAAATTGTTACTGCTTGGAATTGTAAAAAAGGTTAAAAATTTTTGGTTAATTTCTTTGCTTTTCTAGCATGTTTATTCACAGAGTTTATATGAACTATTATCATACCAATGTGAATAGATTTCAAATATTTGTTATTCACTCAAAAGCCAAAAAAAAAAAAAAAAAGGGGGGGGGAGCTGTGAAACATTGTTCTAATTACAAAATTAGTATTAGCATTTTACAACTGATAAGTTTTGTAGCTGCACATAGTATACATCAAATGGCTTGTATTCCGTAGAAGGCATGGGTATAAAATTGTCTGTCTCTTCATAGGAGGTAACAGTGGCTGCCTTTTAGGTGCCTCCACGATAAAATGGCTACCACTTCTGGCCTTCTGAAGTGGCCAATGCCATTATAGGCAAGTGCCTGCCATTGGGGGGGGGGGGGATTAGAATCTTTCAAGGTACAGAAATTTTAAATTTAAATTTAAAAAAAAATAACACTAGTAACAGATATTTTAAAGGCATTCAATAAAGCAGCAAATTTTGAATTCAAAGAACTACTAAAAATATTAGAAAATAGTCATTAGAGAGAAATCTCAGCCCAATGTGATGCTAGTAATTTGTCTACTTGACTATTCTTTGTCAGTAGCATTCTGAATTCATCATTCATCTGAAGTTTATTTTTCTTTCTGTTTTAAAAAATTTACAACTACATGAAATACACATTTAACTAATAAAATGATGGAACTGCTGTAAAATACCTGTTTTTACAATGAATCATGATACTGGGTAAATTGATAGTATTTGTTCTTGAAGTTAAAAATCTCATTATTTACTTTTTACAAATTTTAGCATTAACTCTTCCTTTGTATATAATGTGAATAATTTAATTAAATTAACAAACAAAAATACTAATTGAACATTTGAAAACATTGAAAAATATCAAAATATTTAATTTAATTTTTCTTTGCTTTGAAGCTGAGGATGACAACAATTTGTAAAGCATTTAAAATGAAATCCTAAGTTTTAAGACTTTTATCTTAGAAAACAGGTATGATATTATTTTTATGTATTTAAACTTGGTAGCTTTAAGATTCCAGTAATATCATCAATAGGATGTTATTATGATGATCCAATTTTATGATTTGCATTCTATGAATTAATTTGACATCAGTTTTAAGATATGACATGAATGAGCTTTTAGGTATGAGTTGCCTACTTTAGTTATTATTTTTACCATTAGCAATGACATCAGCATCTTGGTAAATATGATTTAGAAAGGCAGAGAGGAAAAAAAAAATTGTGTTATGTGGATGCACTCAGTTGATTAGTGTTTACTTTTTCAAGCAGTATTTTCAAAAGTGAGAGTAATAAAAAACAATGTGAGACTGATCACTGAGCAATAAAAATAATTAGTTCTGCACTCAAGAGTTAACATCAACTTTGAAAGTAAAAAGAAGTTTAGTTCTCTTTTTGTGTTGGATAAAGTAACATCATTATTAATACATCAAAAGAATTATTTGAGATAGATCGTTGGCGTCTAGAAACTAGGATTGAATGTTGAACAGCATTACAAGTATGCTGGTTGGTCATTTTAATTTAAAGCATACATGAACAAGCTCATGCATTCCAAAGGTATGATTAATGCACATTCCAAAAGTGCGAGTCTAGGGTATAGGATCTGAATTGAGACAAAAATCTTACTTATCTTACAGGTTAGTAACTAGAATATGGAAAATGGGTTTGAGTCAGAATTTCATTTTACTTATTCCAAAGGCTAGTAAATTGGTTTGGTAAAGTGATGGAGAACAAAATCTTACATAGACAGGGCTTACCTATCACAAAGAGTGGTAACTAATCTGAGTCATATGTTTTGAGTTAAAAAAGTACCAACATCTGACTAGCCCAAGTGCCGAGGTCACATCAGGCATGAGAGTGGGATTGGAACATCTCAGAGGATTAAAAGGAATCAAAGTCACAAGAGTTTGATGTTGATTTAAGTGTGGTTAAATCAAGAATGATATTTGTAAATTATTTTAGTAAATATAGGGAACATCAAACAAATGATAGAATTCTAGTATTAACTAAATTAACCCCTTAATCTACAATGACGGGCATAGCCCACTTACGATGGTCGGGCCAAACCTAACTTTCACGGGCATTGCCCGCGTACGGTGATCAGGCCAGAAGTGAGTATTACGTGGAATATTTGATACACAATTACAGTCTGATGCAATAATTGCGGTAGACACAAGTATTACAAAATGTTTATTTATACAAAACTCCAAAATACAAAATTAGTAATCTGTAATGGTATGATATATTTCAAAGCATTCTGGTACATGTAACGGAACTTTACACTTTTTACACTCGTATTCTATGTGGATATTCTCGTACTTGATCTGCATACTGATTCGTTTTGGTTACAATATTGTTCCAAAATACGTCATCAAATATTAGATTAAATATATCAAATTCTCCTCTACTTCCTCCTAATTGACATAAGGCTTCCTCTCTTATTCCAGGAGTCACCATATAGTCCCAGATTTTTGGACTATTTCTTATTTCTTTCCAAAGTTAGGACTCTGATAGTTGATCGTCATCGGATGTATCATCAATAATTATTCGCCTATACTTTCTTCGAAATTCATGTTTACAATTGCCCGGATTAGCGTGTTACACAAGTCGTGCAAATGTCACGAACGCTGCGCGACAATTGCAGCCCAACCTCTTCAAATCTAAATCATAGATTAAGGGGGTTTAAAAGGTAAAAGAGCTAGCTCAGATTCATTAGAGAATCAGAGACTTACTACTTTAAGAATACTTCCATATAACTTATATTTACTGCAAATTGTGTTTGGGGGGAGTGGGGAACAAGCATGAGCCTACGGCAATGATCCAAAGATGATAAGCAATGGAAACTATGAATTATATACATCAGAAATTTGCATTGAATTGCTTATATTTAATCCCAAGGGTATACTAGAATACACTGAATAAATTAAGCTAAGAACAATTCTTGAAGGATAATGCTGGTAAGTTTTGTTTTTTGTATTTGATATGCAAATTAGATGTTTAATTAGAAAGTATGTTCTGAAAATTGTGTTTTGTATTTAGAAAGTTGGATTAGTATGTTTCAAAAACAACAAATTTTCACTCAAAAATGTTGTTACTTATATTGGTATTGAAAAGAACATTCTAAAAAAATTAATTATACAGTAATGCACATACTTTGCTGTGCTTTGTTATATAATCATTTGAATGAATAATTTGTAAAATGGTTATTTTATTTGTATTGTCTTATAGTTTAAAACTAATTTTCTGATGAGATGAACAGTTATTATACAGAGATATTGGCCAAGATAATAGCTATTTCAGTTCTATTTAACTGGAATTATGTATTTAGTGTTTTAATCAAATTAATATGCACATAATCAATAAATATTACATATAAATGACTTTACAAAAAATTTTTTATGAAGAGTAAATTTTATCTTTAATAAAACTGTTTTTTATTAAAATTAATATTTTTATTTACTTGTAATTTCTTATTGCTATAACAAATTTTTTTACTGGATATAGCTTGTTCATTTATTGAATAGAAAATTGTCAATTCTTATGACATTGCATTGCCATGTAAAAATTAATGGTTCACAACTTTTTTGCAGTTGAAAATGCAATTTTTCAACATAAGATTAAGAACCACTGACTTATATAACTGACAGATTATAATTAACGATTTAGGATCAACGATTCCACTGCTGATCGATTGTGCACAGGGGGCCATTATGTTGGTATTATTATTTAACAGCCACTCACCTATGCTGGCAGCGCATGCATTAATTATACAGTAATTGTAAT